AACACTCTAATGAGAGTTAGTAGACATGTAGGTGCAACATTACTTCTAGTCAACAGAATGTGTTAAAGGGACCATTACAAATGCAAATAAAAACAACAATACTAGACAAGATATATTTTCAGTGTTTTATTAAAAATGACCTAAATAATTTCCAAAAATAAAATATTACAGAAAATACATCAAAAAAAGTACACCTCTTAGGGAGGACAAACATTGTCCTCCTATATACATATACTTATCATTTCAGTTCTCAAAAAAGGACTTAACACTTATTTTGTTTTCATGACCTTCAGACCTTTTCATGTAGATCCAAAGGCACAATGCACCATTGTAATTTGTAATATAACAGTGCTTAATTTAAACTCTTAAGTGTCTGCATCCCTTAGTTAGAAAACACATTTAAACAGGCAAGTTGTTAATTGGCAGTGTTCCTTCGACTGATGGGATGAACATGCTAGTTTGAAACACTAAGTAATTGTGTAGTTGCTCACAGTCTTTTGCAGTTCTTTCTCAGCTCAAAGCTGTTTTTTGCTTTGTAAACCGAGGGCTCCGGACACGCAGTACGGGATGATACTGACCGTGACGAGGGGAACGGTGGCGCTCTTGCAGAAAGACAGCAGGTAGTAGAGGGCAGCCGTGTGTGTGGGAGGCTTGATGGAATCGAAGAGATGCAGCAGAGACAGAGAGGCGACGATACAGGCCATCCTGACTCGAGCACTGCTGCTCTTCTTGCTTTCAGTGTACAGCGGGGAGTGAAGACCGAGTCCCAGACCAAACAGGGTGCCCATGTTCCTCAACAGGCTGGCGAACGGCGTGGTGTCCAAGTGGACCCAGGCTGGATTGACGCACCACCGCTGGGCTTTCTCAAGCGTCCACAGCAGATCCACACCCAGAGCTTTGAGGAGCAGGTACAAGCCCACCGCAAAAGAAAGCAGGAGCAGCGTGATGTTGAAGTAATTCTTTAGACTGGCACTGTAGATCCATTTCTGTCTGTTGAAGGCCTCAGCAACAATCATGCCTGTGAAAAACAAGAATAAATATATAGTTTAGTCATGAAACTCTAGATGGCGCAGGCT